AGAAATACAAATGATGTAGCGACCCAGTTAAAGCGTATAGTATTATTTATTGCTTTACAGATTTAAAATCCCTATAGGATTCATAATCTTTATTTGATGATACCATTCAAGGAAGTGTTCTTACTGTGAGAATCTCCACCACACATTCCTATGTGAATTACATCCTTGTCATGTATCAACATCTTCATTTAAACAGAGTCCTTGGATTGATATATATTTTTATACTTGGGGGATGAATATTTTTACATTTTCTTCACCAAAAAGATTTGATTTCAGGGGAACTGTTTTATTTGTCTTCTATGATGTAATAAAATATCTTTGTTAAAGTGTTGGTTCCATATCCCCTAGTATATGATTTGTTCTTGAATTATCCTGTGTTATCCTTAGGTGAATTTCCCTGGATGCACCGTGCTCAAGCCCCCATGGGATAAAGGAAGCAAATGACATCCTCCATAGTGGGAAACTCCTATGGGGTCCTGAGGAAGTCATTTATGGGCATGAATTACGCAACGCGTCGACGGCAATACTATGTGGGGGTGACGCACTTCCGGGGGATGCCATTACTATGGGGGGATGACATCAGCCACAGGCATAAACCCATGCTATGGGGGAGCAGCTGTGTTTTTGGGGGATTATTTGGCAAATGGGGGATTATTTATTTATTTTCCGGCATGAATTATTAATGGGGGATTTTACACTATGGGGATGAATTGCTTCCTTTATCCCATGGGGGATGCTTGATGCTGTGTATATGGGGATGCATTACTCATACCTGGGGGAGGATTACCACATGGGGGGTGGAAGCTGTATATGGGGGATGAATACCAAATCCATGGGGGGATGAATTACTTGATCAGTGGGGATGAAAAAGCTAATGTGGGGGAAAACTACTATATGGGGGGTCTGCAGGGAGGAGGTGACTAGGCCACTCAGGGGGAATTTACTAATACTTACGTGGTGGATGCGGGCCCACATACACATCATTCATCTACTCTTGGTCGGCCCCCGTGCAAATATTAAAACCCACTGGACTTCATATTCAAAATAGGGGTCTGCACAGTCTGTTTTCCAGATTGGCTTTATCAATCACGCACCCAACGTAGAATGTCGCTCCAGTTCATGGATGGATTTCATCATCATGCTGCATGATCCACCAGGCACAGGACCTTTTACTGGTCATCCTACACATTGTTCCCTTCTGAGGATTGTTCTATCCTTCCAAACAAATGTATGAAATCATGGATGAGTCCTCCTTCTATGTGATCTAGAAGATCTTCAATCACAATGTCTTTATGGATGAAGTGGATGGCCCAGTTTTATATATTATTTATTGCTTTACAGCTTTATTCCCTCCAGGATTCATTCTTTATTTATAGAACCATTCAAGGAAGTGTTCTTACTTTGAGAGATCTCCACCACCATTCCTCTGTCCTCTGTGACCATTACATCCTTGTCATTTATGTCTAACATCTTCATTATGAGTGGATTGATATTTATTTTTTATACTTTAGGATGTATTTTTTGCATTTTTTTCAACAAAAAGATACATTTCGGAGGGATCTGTTTCACCTTTACTTTTTTTTTTTCTAACTTGTATTCCGTGTCTTTAAGACTTTTATTTATGTAATAAAATATCTTTATTAAACAGTTGGCTGCAAATGATCTAGATTTTTTTTTTCTTTTTAAAGTTTCTTCTGATCTTCTGTGGTAGACCTGTAAGGTATATATTATACAGGAATTGTTATTATGAGACATTTTGGGGGGCTGCAGTTCTACTGAACTCCACAAGGTGGTGATCTCACTTCCACAGGAAGTTAAACCCAGACAGGAAGTCTCTCATGGTACAGACAGGAAGTGATGTCAGGTACAGACAGGAAGTGATGTCAGGTACAGACAGGTAGTGATGTCAGGTACAGACAGGAAGTGATCTGCAATAAAGACAGGAAGTTACATGTTGCAGAAATAAGAGAGACGTTGGTGGAAGTGGCAGCAGAGGAGGTAATAAGATGTTATTTCATATTTACACCCAGTAATCCCCCCATTATGTCTCTGTCCTCTTCCTCCATAGTCACGTCGTCCCTCTTCCTCCATAGTAGTCACGTCCGTCCTCTTCCTCCATAGTCCGTCCGTCCTCTTCCTCCATAGTCACGTCCGTCCTCCTCTTCCTCCATAGTCACGTCCGTCCTCCATTCCTCCATAGTCACGTCCGTCCTCTTCCTCCATAGTCCGTCCGTCTTCGTCATAGTCACGTCCTCCTCTTCCTCCATAGTCATGTCCGTCCTCTTCCTCCATAGTCACTGTGACGTCTTTTATCTCCAGCAGATGATGATACACACATATATAGTGTGGGAACCCAGATGAACCCCTTCAGGGGCAGAACATTCCCCCACTTCCGGGGCCGGAACATTCTCCTCATTGTGGAGATAAATTCTAGTAATATGGTCCTCTAAACAAACAGCACTGACAATAAATAGACAAGACAAGGACCATCCTGACCATACATGGCCTACAAAGGGCAATGATGACACTACACAGGCAGCCAATGGGCAATCATTACACTATGCAGCCAACACAATGATGGAGTGCCGGGGTCAGGAGTATGGAGCATAGAGCCCCTTACATTGCTGCTCAGGAGGAAGAAACATTCCCCATGAATGAATGAAGAGTAATCACCACTGAAGTGCTATGTTCCCTCTTTTGTACATTGTGGAGGGTCTGGTTTGAATGAATGTCCAAATAAAGGTGATTTTATCAGATGTGCGCCCGGACTTTTTTTCTTCTCTACCAGGAAGAAAACATTCCCCAGCCTGCCATGAAAAATATATTCAATCATTGGTGTTGGAGAAAAAAAAAATGAGGGGTGTGAGGGATGAAGGGGAGTTGAGGGGCCTCCTGTTAGGGGGTACTGAGGATGAGAGACTTTGGGACCCCTGAGGGTGTAGAGTAGATGGTGAAATCTGGGTGATAGGGTTGGCAGGTAGCATGTCTCTGAGGGAAGAGAAGGTTGTTGGGCTCAGGGGGACTCTGAGGTAGGGAGGGGGGCTCTTGGTCTCTGATTGTCCTCCCACCTGCACTTACTTTCCAGACCTCCTTACAAAACTCCTACCAGGTCAAGGAGGAAAAAACCTTCACCTTCTTCCATCACCATCTCACTGGTCAAATAGTCATTTTCCAAGATAGTCCTGAGAACAATTTTTAACGAATCTTCTCCTTGGGGAGGTCTGTTTGCATAGCTCTTGCTCACTTTCATGATGGCAGAGGTTCCTCTTCCTCCATGCCAATCTTTCTTACCCGAGGTGCTCCATTCTGACCTCCATTTCCACTGTCCACTCATCTGTACAAAGTCAGGGTGAATCTTTAGTCCACTAGTGAAAAAGTGTCCAACTAAGGAGGACTCCGTTACCCTGGATGATACCACGACCACTCTAAGGCTGGTTGCAATCCACATAAGGGCTGATATTTAGACCCAGCTCTCTGTTTTATTAAAAATACACACAGCCCCCACATTAAAAAATGCTAAAGTCCAATCCCTCCCAGTGAACATGCAATGGGGATTGCCTATACAGAGGATGTACATTCCATTGGGAGCAATAAATAGCCTTTGCATTATCAAACTGGTCCTCCCCCAAGGGGCAGTCCCAGAGGGCCAGGTCAGACTGAACTTTCCATCCCCCATTTGATTTTATCCATCTGAGTCATTTTATTTCCCCTCCCTACTAGCTTCTATTGGTATGCAAAATTCTCTGCACAAGCACTCCCTAAAAATATCAGTCTGTACCTGGATGGGGCCCGATAGATCCATTTCCTTCACATCCATGGGATACAGATCAGATTAGTCTCAATCACAGTTGTAAGATATGCAAAGCTGTCACAGGTGGATTCAGGAGTAGAGACCTCTGAGGGGTAGTGGCATTGACTATGAACCCATCCTCTGAGGGGTACCCTGCTGCTGATATGTGGATACAGGACCCACGGTCTACTGACTGAACATTCGCATGGAGTCTGCATGGAAGTAATAGTGGCTGGAACACTTGCCTCTATAAGGCAATCTGCCATCTCATCCATTACCAAGCTGAGTACTGTAATCCCTCATACATTGTACTGCATGGCCTCAATTGCCCCTATTCAGAGCTTTAATTAAGCCACAGGATGGTCCCCACCCCACTTCATGAATAACAGGAAACATGACCTCAAACCTTGACCAACAATACAAATTTCCATGACAATACCAAGTGGAAAGAAGAAGGGAAGTCTTTCACCCCTTGGTGGGAACTCGTTCTTAGAGGAGGTCTGTTGGTGAATTATCAACTAAAAGGTAGTCAGGGGGTCAGTGCTGAACATCTTCAGGAGACACTCCAATACCTCCCATGACACAGGCTCTGGCAGTGCCCGGTGCTGGAATTCAGAGCCCCAGAAAAACCCACCACCACTCTGTACAATGTCCTGGACCTACTACAGTATACTTGGCAATAAAAAAAAAACAAGATCCTCCCCCCCTGCCATCCTCCTACCTACGCTGCGCTGTCATTGGAGGGAAGAGAACAGACTCCTCCCCCACAGCTCTCTACCACCACCACCACCATCTTCCTGCTATCCCATCCAATCCCTTCTCTTACTGCAGAGAGTGACAGTGACATCACTCCTGTCAGTCAGCAGGCTGCTGGAGATTGGAGCCTTGCAGCCGGAGTTCTGCCAATTGTCCTGATTATCCAGCAACTCCAGCCAATAGTCAGCAAAGTCCCTTCCTGGACCTCATGATGAGCCGACATTGACCTCACAGCACTGCCTCAGAGCAAACAAGTCATAGGAAGGATCGTATTTATCATTCCTTGTCTGCAGATCTAAAACTCATCAAAACCAGTTCAGAGACCAAAACAAACCCAACAGATTAAAGGGGATTTCTGATCCTGCAGGTCAAGAGGGTCCCGGGACCTCCAAAATGTAGCAAATACTAAACAGTCCCAAATAAGCATCTTCCCATGGGGGTGGTAGTTCTTCAATGTCCAGCAACCCTCCTATTCCCCCCTCACATCCACATCCTATTATTGTGTGACCAATACCATCCAAATCATTCTTACTTTCATTTCCCAAAGTTATCCGTCTACAAGGAGACCTGTATAGATCACATGATGGCACCAATGAGGATGGAGGAGGACCGGAGTCACATGACTGAGAAGATACTAAACCTCACCCTGGAGATCATCTACCTGCTGACCGGAGAGGTGAGGAGGATTCTGGGAGGTCACATGACATCACTCTTATCTCTATTAATAAAACACAGACCTGACCGGAGAGGTGAGGAGGATTCTGGGAGGTCACAGACTCTTATCATCTGATTAATAAAACACAGACCTGACCTGAGAGGAGAGGTGAGGAGGATTCTGGGAGGATGACATCACTCACTCTATCTCTATAATAATCACAGGAGGATTCATCACATCTCATCTCTATTAATAAAACACAGACCTGACCGGAGAGGTGAGGAGGATTCTGGGAGGTCACATGACATCACTCTCATATTATTAATAAAACACAGACCTGACTGGAGAGGTGAGGAGGATTTCTGGGAGTCTGAACATGATATTCCTATTGTTCCTCAATACAGAGATTTCCTCTTCTGAAGTCAGGTCATATGACCATCACAGTGTGACTCCCTAAACCCTGAGAGACACAACATGCAGAAGATTCTAGAAGTCACCAAGAAGATGATGGAGCTGCTGACAGGAGAGGTGAGCGGTGCCGGGAATTCTGGGACATTCTCCAGTAACAGACAAGGGATGTGTCTGGATGGTGACTGTATCATTGTGTGTGTCAGGTTCCTATAAGGTGTCAGGGTGTCACTGTCTATTCTCCATGGAGGAGTGGGAGTATTTAGGAGTATTTAGAAGGACACATCACCCCCCACCCTTCCCATCACCGATAAGAAGACACTTTAGAGGGACGGAGCTTCTAGAACATGGACTTGTGGACACAATGTGTGGATTTTTTATGTGATGCCACAATATTGAAGCTCATGTTTTACAGATGATATTTTTCTCTCATTTCTCTTGGTTTAGGGTGAAGATCTGATGTATATAAAAGTTGAGGTGAAAGCAGAAGAAGAAGAGGCGTATGTGAGGGATGATCAGCAGTCTATGGAGGAGGATGGAATAACGGGGACATTTATAGAGGAGGACACTCCTACAGAGATCAGCACAGGTGGGTCATGAACACTAAATCCATTCCTCCACCCATACTGCTCACTGATTGGTCCAGAGTAGGGCGGGGACTGGGTGATATCAGCCTGTAATCCCCTGGTCACTTTCCTGAGCTGTGTTCCCCGTCCTGTATTCCTGGATTTCTCTCGGATAATCTTCCTTCTCTGTGCTGCAGCAGACACAATTTATGTCTCTAGACTGGATTTATGGAGGTTCTGGGGTTCAGCTGGCAGCAAAATGTTCATTTTTACTCATAGCATTCTGTAGGACCCATATGTGACTGGGGTCCTGCAAGATCTCTGACAGAACATTTCTCCCAGGGTTCCTTGCTCTGTTGGTCTGCTGGCTGTGCCGGGTGGAGGGATATGTCTGTAGTAGTCTCAGACCCAAGTCACTGAGTGCAGTCTCAGGAGATGGGAGGCAGCGGTGTGGTTATAAACTTTCCATATACCCAGTGAAGTGACTGGCCTCAGGTGATACACAGAGATGAAACAAATCCTCCTACATACGTTGTACCTTTTTATCTTCAGCCCTCTCTTCTCTACATCTGTTCAAAGTCCAGAATTTATACAGCTTGTCTGAGAAGTCAGAAAAAAAGGAGCAGAGAGCTGGTCACATTCTGCAGAGCTCAGTAAAGTGAGCTCTGAGAGATGATTGGAGGGAAGGGACACACCCCCTTCACACAGGAACATAGCTGAGGCTGTCAATCACAGGCTGTGAGCTGGAGTTCCTCCCTTATCATACTTTTTCTCTTGGTGTCAGGAAGACTTGTCAGAAGTGACTCATGCTGATTGTATAGGAAGGAGACAGCAGACAGAAATGACACTTCGTGCTCTGGACTGAGACAAGTACACACTGTAGAGGGATATTCTTTGTTCATATTCCATGTCTGAGGGTTACAACCCCTGTAAGTGATCTCTGATTACTAAACACCAATTTGATGTGATCCTTACACTATTTATTAGTGTGGCCCCCTTGTCCTGAATAGAGGTACTATGTGGGTTTAGTTTGTGGCTGGGCTGTACTTGGCTCAGGCTGATTGTATAGTTCTTCACTTGGTTTCTCCCTAAGTTTAGGTTGTTGTCTTGTGATGTCTCACTGTGGCCAGTAGATGTCACTGCTATCACTGGACATAGGATGAGATTTCACCAACCAAACTAAAGGGATATAGAACCACCACAAATGTCCCATATTGCAGCTTACCAATCATTGGGTGTGGCGGCTGCATTCCTTTTCTTTGGGCTTTTTTTTTTTTCCCTCTGTTTTCACCTGGTGATCTGGCCAGTAACACACCTTCTGTATTAGAGCGCCCCCACTGTGGAGACAGCAGCATGGTCAGGGGGGGGGAGGGGAGTGTTAGATGTATTAGCAGATATAAAAACAGTAACTAATTGAAGCCAAACTCCAGATCACACTTCATAATCAGTTACATCAAACAGTTTTTTTTTCCTTTTGGGATAAAAGTTTCACATGAATAAATAAAAGCTGCTCATTGTAAGCCCCCTGTCAGTGGTAAGTGGTCTGCCTCATGGTAAGTGGTCTGCCTCATCCCTGGAACTGATACATTCTGCTGTAGAGTTTTTATAAAACAGATTTACTGGTTAGATCACCAGATGAATATAGAAGAAAACTAATGCAGCCATCACATCTCAGAATCGGTAAGCTGGAATATATAATAAATGTTTTCTTTGTGTTTCATATGGATTAAGTTAACATTTATATTTTCTTCAGCCAATCCAGTAGGAGGTTTATGCCCCTGGAGCATGCTGGGGCAGGAAATAAATATTTGGGCCAGGCCATGTGCTCTTTCCATGGGCTGAGGTCTAGGGAGGTGCTGCTGGATGGAGCTCTGCTGTTAGGCCCAATAGCCTGTTTTGGGACCTAATGTGTGAAGTGGTCCTGAAGCTGTCCTGTCTGGTCTGGAGGAAGCTGTGCCAAGGAGGAGACCCAGGGGAGGAGAGAGCCATGAAGAAGACTGGTCTCTCAGAAGGACCCGGGTCTCACTTGGAGGACGCACTGACATTTGGGAACGTGTTTACAGAGTCATTCAGTCGGCTTAAAGGTTCTGACACTGTGAGGCTGGGCATTGATCTGCAGAGTCTGTCAGTGATCTGTCATGTATCTGGGTCCCCTAACCCTCACCTCCCCAACCCTTCTAAATAAAACTTTAAAAAGACAAAGTGAGTGACTGGTGTGCCAATATCCTTTCTCAGTTCCCGTATTTTACCCATGGACTTGGCCCTGGGGTGAGCACCCCTGACCTTTGGAGGTGCCATCCTGCCTTTGGGGTGTCAGGGGGGTTCTACATTCATATTGCACATTATAGTACATAGTACTGACCTCTATACTATACATATTTGTTGTATGTTAGAGTCCTGACCCCTGCACTATATACTCTATGTTGTACATTACATACTCCTGACCCCTGCTGCACTATATACTCTATGTTGTACATTACATACTCCTGACCCCTGCACTATATACTCTATGTTGTACATTACATACTCCTGACCCCTGCACTATATACTCTATGTTGTACATTACATACTCCTGACCCCTGCACTATATACTCTATGTTGTACATTACATAGTCCTGACCCCTGCACTATATACTCTATGTTGTACATTACATACTCCTGACCCCTGCACTATATACTCTATGTTGTACATTACATACTCCTGACCCCTGCACTATATACTCTATGTTGTACATTACATACTCCTGACCCCTGCACTATATACTATATGTTGTACATTACATACTCCCTGACCCCACTGCACTATATACTCTATGTTGTACATTACTCCTGACCACTGCACTATATACTCTATGTTGTACATTACATACTCCTGACCCCTGCACTATATACTCTATGTTGTACATTACATACTCCTGACCCCTGCACTATATACTCTATGTTGTACATTACATACTCCTGACCCCTGCACTATATACTCTATGTTGTACATTACATACTCCTGACCCCTGCACTATATACTCTATGTTGTACATTACATCCTCCTGACCACTGCACTATATACTCTGTTGTACATTACATCCTCCTCTGACTAGAGATGAGCGAAGTATTCAAAAATTCGATTCGGCTGATTTGGCGAATTTCAGGAAGAAATTCGATTTGATGCGAATTTATTGCTACGAAATTAACTTATTAAAAGGGTTTCTAGGCTTCAGAGAGCCTTTATATTAGTGCAGAACACTGTACCTTTAATTTAAAGCCCTTGGAGATGAGGAAGGAGAAGGATGAAGAAGAAGAAGGATGAGAAGAAGGAGAAGGAGAAGGATGAGAGAGAAGAAGGAGAAGGAGGAGAAGAAGGAGAAGAGAAGAAGGAGAGGATGAGAAGATGGAGAAGGAGAAAGATGGAGAAGGAGAAGGATGGAGAAGGAAGAGAAGGATGAGAATGAGAAGAAATGAGAAGAGAAGGAGAAGAAGAAGGAGAAGGATGAGGAGAAGGATGAGAAGAGGGAGAAGGATGAGAAGAAGGATGAGAAGAAGGATGAAGAGAGAAGAAGGATGAGAAGAAGGAGAAGGATGAGAAGAAGGAGAAGGATGAGAAGAGGAGAAGGATGAGAAGAAGGAGAAGGGATGAGATGAGAGGATGAGAGAAAGGAGAATGAGAAGATGAGAAGATGAGAAGGATGAGAAGAAGAGAGAAGGATGAGAAGAGAATGAGAAGAAGGATGAGAAGAAGGATGAGAAGAAAAGGATGAGAAGAAGGATGAGAAGAAGGAGAAGGATGAGAAGGAGAAGGAGGAGAAGAGGAGAAGAAGGATGAGAAGAAGGATGAGAAGAAGGATGAGAAGAAGGAATGAGAAGAAGGAGAAAGATGAGAAGAAGGACAGTTCTGTGACAGTTTCTGTCTATTTCTGACAGTTCTGGGACATTCACACTCCATACAGCGGTTGAAACATTGTATCTATTTTTTTCCATAAATGACATTCTGCAAATACACTTAGAGGAGCTCTGCAGATACACTTTTTGCCGGCTTGGATTATTATTCTTATTTTCATCCTACTTCTTCTTCTTCTTCCTCTTCATCCTTTCCTCTTCTTCTTCTTGAGGATGAGATGAAGAAGAAGAAGTAGGATGAAAATAAGAATAATTCCAAGCCGGCAAAAAGTGTATCTGCAGAGCTCCTCTATTCTGACAGATACACTTAGACAGCTCTGCAGATACACTTTTTACAGATACACTTAGAGGAGCTCTGCAGATACACTTTATGCCGTATTGGTACATTACTTATTTTCATCCTACAATCTTTTCAATCCTCTTCTTCCTCTTCTTCTGGACTGAAGAAGAAGAAGTAGGATGAAAAATAACATTAATTCCCTGCCGGCAAAAAGTGTATGTGCAGAGCTCCTCTATTTCTGACAGTTCTCTGACAGCTCCTTCACATGTACAGCGGTTGAAACATCTGTATCCTAAATGGAAACTAATAGATACAATGTTTCAACCGCTGTACTATGTGTTCCTTCTGTCAGAGAACTGTCAGAAATAGCGGAGCTCACTGCAGGGACACTTTTGCCGGCTGATCGGTAAAAATCCGATTCGCGCACCCGAAGTAGGCAAATGTTCAGATTCGCCGCAAATCGAATTTTTCCTGAAATTCGTATCCGAATTCCGGTTCGCCTCTACTATTCGATTTGCTCATCTCTACTCCTGACCACTGCACTATATACTCTGTTGTACATTACATCCTCCTGACCACTGCACTATATACTCTATGTACATTACATCCTCCTGACCCCTGCACTATATACTTTATGTTGTACATTACATCCTCCTGGACCCCCTGCAATATGTACTATGTTGACCCCTGCATTACCCTATGTTGTATACTCCTGACCCCTGCACTATATACCCTATGTTGTACATTACATACTCCTGACCCCTGCACTATATACCCTATGTTGTACATTACATACTCCTGACCCCTGCACTATGTACTCTATGTTGTACACTTACATCCTCCTGACCCCTGCACTATATACTCTATGTTGTACATGTACATGACATACTCCTGACTCCTGTACTATGTACTCTGTGTTATACATTACATACTCCTGACCCCTGATAGAGGGGGTGGGGACCCTCGTCCTATAATCCCCTCATCACTGTCCCTCCTATAAAAGACAGTTCTGGTTGTTTCCTCACTCTCTGACTAAGGTCCATGAATAAAGAAATGACCTGGTAGGAGATCAGAGGAGCCATTTCCTAGTTCCCTTGAGGGTGGAATTGTAAGCTCCTCAGAGACCAAGCTGCCTGATGTGGGCGGAGTCCTGGTTTGGGGGAACCAATCAGCTCCTGTCTAGTAATCCTCTTTGTCTTTGTATTTTTTAGTCCATGGCCGGGAGATGAGGAAAACCTCTGAGGATTGTCTCACTTTGTCTCCAGACTGGAAAGTAGAAGATGAGGACATCACACAGTATAGTCCAGGAGAAAACCCGGCTCCCTCCAATGTCCATCCGGCACCCACCCAGTGTAGATGGACCATCGGATTCCTCGTATCCTGAGGAACCTCAGACTGTGCGGGACCGGGCCGGCCTTCCAACAGGGAAAAGCTTCTCCTGTACTGAGTGTGGGAAATGTTTCCATTCAAAATTCCTTGTTAATAGGCATAAAAATCTCACACAGAGGAAAAGCCGTATTCCTGTCCTGAGTGCGGGAAATGTTTCCGTTTTAAATTCCATCTTAATGTGCATAAAAGATCTCACACAGGGGAGAAGCTGATTTCCTGTCCTGAGTGCGGGAAATGTTTTTTCATGTAAGTCTTATCTTTCCATACATCAGAGGTCTCACACGGGGGAGAAGCGTATTCCTGTCCTGAGTGCGGGAAATGTTTTTCACAGAAGTCCCATCTTTGCACACATCAGAGATTGCACATGGGGGGAGAAACCGTATTCCTGTCCTGAGTGCGGGAAATGTTTTTCAGAGAAGTCATATCTTTGCAAACATCAAAGATGTCACACGGGGGAGAAGCCATTTTCCTGTCCTGAGTGCGGGAAATGTTTTTCACAGAAGTCCAGTCTTTACACACATCAGAAATGTCACACGAGGGAGAAACCTTATTCTTGTCCTGAGTGTGGGAAATGTTTTTCACGGAAGTTCAATCTTTACACACATCAAAGATCTCACACAGGTGAGAAGCCGTATTCCTGTTCTGAGTGCGGGAAATGTTTTTCACAAAAGTCTGATCTTTACAGACATCAGAGATCTCATACAGAGAGAAGCCACTTTCCTGTCCTGAGTGAGGGAAATGTTCCTCACTGAAGTCCTGTCTTCCTGTACATCAGGGGTCCCACACAACCCTGGAGGTGTATTAGTGCCTTGAGTGCGGGAAATGTCTTCTAGATGAATGTTGCTGGACATCCCAGCTCTCATGTGGGGAAGAAGCACACCCTGATATACACCTCAGATATACTCCATGGCTGATCTTCATCATGGAAGAAACAGTTGATAAGGAGATGAGAGGCCCCCAAAGACATGGATGAAGTGCAGTAAATGTCGGGGTGCAGAGTGGTCAGTAGATCCTGGAAATGAAGGACACAACTTCAGCCCTTCTTGGGTGTCGGAGTTGCGTTTCCTGATAATGATATAGCGGGTTACAGAGCTAGAAGCCGGGAGAGCCCAGATCTCGTTATCGGGGAACTTTACACAGACAACAAGAACTTCTGAAGTTGATGTCCTTCATTTCAAGGCTCTACAGAACAGTGGTGACCCCGAAGCGTCTCTCTGTCTTCAGTCCATCCTTCTCCCATCCCCCAACAGGAGGGAAGGAGAACTCCGCCCCAAACTAGGGGGGAACTTTCCTCTCATTATTTCCCTTGGCTTCTGTGTGGGTTTGGGTGGTTGGAGGAGTGCGGCACGAGAGGGAACACAGCTTGTTGTTCTATGTCTACATATGGGGTCTGGGTAGAGGGGATCCACCGGAAAATATTTCTACTCTTTGATTTTGTGCAAATCGTTTCTGTTTTCACTTTGAAGGGCGATATTATGTGTGGTTTGTAAAAGGGATTGGCCCAATAGATACCCGCCCCCACTTAGAGAATAGATGAACTAATATGACCAGCATTCATTCAGCCATGTCACATGTTGGGATCTTTTCTACAATACTTTGTTATTATAATAATGGAACACGTTGTGTATTGTATTGTACACACCAATAATAATGACTCCGCCCCCCCACATTCCAGACAAGGGATCTTCCTGACCAATCAGATTCCTTCCTTTGTTATTTCCTGATTCTATGATTACAATCTTGTTAGAAGTAAAACTATAATAAAGAATTTATTGAGTGAAAAAGAATGTGTGTGTCGGGGCCACGATGGGGATCTTTGGGGCCCAAACATTTCTCACAGGAGACACTTTACAAGCCTTTACAGGTCATCCAGTTTCTGGTTCACCATGAATAATGGCCCAGAGTGCAGGGGTCAGGAGACTACTTCATACAGCCCTGCAAACAGTCCATCCCAGAGTACAAGTGCAGTGGTCAGGAGTATGTGATTTCCATCCCAGAGTACAGAGTGTAGTGGTCAGGAGTATGTGATTTACATCCCAGAGTACAGAGTGTAGTGGTCAGGAGTATGTGATTTACATCCCAGAGTACAGAGTGTAGTGGTCAGGAGTATGTGATTTACATCCCAGAGTACAGAGTGTAGTGGTCAGGAGTATGTGATTTACATCCCAGAGTACAGAGTGTAGTGGTCAGGAGTATGTGATTTACATCCCAGTACAGAGTGTAGTGGTCAGGAGTATGTGATTTCCATCCCAGAGTAGTGTAGTGGTCAGGAGTATGTGATTTCCATCCCAGAGTACAGAGTGTAGTGGTCAGGAGTATATGATTTACATCCCAGAGTACAGAGTAGTAGTGGTCAGGTACAGAGTGTAGTGGTCAGGAGTATGTGATTTCCATCCCAGAGTACAGAGTGTGGTCAGGAGTATGTGATTTCCATCCCAGAGTACAGAGTGTAGTGGTCAGGAGTATGTGATTTACATCCCAGAGTACAGAGTGTAGTGGTCAGGAGTATGTGATTTTCCATCCCAGAGTACAGAGTGTAGTGGTCAGGAGTATGTGATTTACATCCCATCAGAGGTACAGTGTAGTGGTCAGGGAGTATATGATATACAGTCCCTATACAGAGTGAAGTAGTCAGAAGTAGTATGTCATGTACAGATGTCACAGTGGGTAAGATCATGTCTTATACAGCCCAGCATTTAGAAGTCAGGTCATCGGTCAGGAGCATGTCATACACAGGCCAGTGGCTCAGAGTGTCAGGAGTTAGAACCTGTCCTGTGTAGTGCAGTGGTCAGGAGGAACATGTCATGTACAGCCATGTTTGTACAGAGTGTACAATGGTCAGGTTTATATCTTACAGCTCTGTGTACAGAGTGCAATGGTCAGGAGTATATCATATACAGCCCTGTATACAGTGCTGTGTACAGTATATCATATACAGCCCAGTGGTCAGGAGTATATCATATACAGCCCTGTGTACAGAGTGCAGTGGTCAGGAACTATAGTGGTCAGGATTATACAGCCCTGTGTACAGAGTGCAGTGGTCAGGTGTATATATCATATACAGCCTGTGTGTAGCAGAGTGCAGTAGGTCAGCAGAGTATATATATACAGCCCTGTGTATAGAGTGCAGTGGTCAGGAGTATATCATATACAGCCCTGTGTACAGAGTGCAGTGGTCAGGAGTATATATCATATACAGCCTGTGTACAGTGCAGTGGTCAGGATTATCATATATCTTAGGCCCTGTGTACAGAGTGCAGTGGTCAGGAGTATGTCATAAACTGCCCTGTGTATAGAGTGCAGTGGTCAGGAGTATATCATATACAGCCCTGTGTACAGAGCGCAGTGGTCAGGAACATGTCATAACTGCCCTGTGTATATTGTGTGCAGTGGTCAGGAGTATGTCATATACTGCCCAGCATGCATAGTACAATGGTCAGGATTTTGTGGAAGAACAAAAATATTTTCTTTCCAAGATAACACCTAAGAGGAGATCACCACGAGCCCTGAAGGAAGTTTGCCTTGTATGGACATGACCAATTAGAAGCGTATACGTAGCCCCAGTAACACTGCTCACCACCCTTGCATTATCTTGCATATATAAACTCACTTTTTCATTCCAATAAACTAGAAGTTTTCACAGACTAACGTGTGTCAGTGTGGCTTTCTTCATGCGTGCACTAAAGAGCTAGCATGATTAATTAGGACAGGAACAGATAATCATCGGACACTTAGTCCGGACTAACTCACCCATAACAAGCTGCTGCTTGATGGGCACTCAACAGGAGGGAGGGGCCAGGAGCACCTGTGGGGGACCCGAGAGAAGAGGAGGATCCAGGCTGCTCTGTGCAAAACCATCACACACAGCAGTAAGTATGACATGTTTGTTTTTTTAAAAGAAAAAAAAATGTTGCCTTTACAATCGCATTTTAAGTCTCATTTACTAATGGACACGACTCCCTCCGACACCCACAGACCATAAACAAAGCAAAAGTGACAAATAAATGTGACAGCAAATAACCAACCCAACAACCTGATATATACACTGTGTACAATGGAGGGAAGCTGACATACACCGGGCAGACCCAGGACTGGGACTGGGATCAGAGGGGAGCAGAGATGGGGGAACAGGATGCAGGGAAACCAGAATCAGGGGAAAGTATACAAGATACAGGACGCAGGATCCAGCAGGGAAGCGGCTCACAGGCAGAACACTGAGGCACTGATGAAAACTACGGGGGGATTATATACCTTCCCAGCAGCCAGCATCAGGTGGAGCCTCATTACTGACATCTTCTGTCTGCTGGGAGACACAGCAATGTCTCCTCTCCACCACTTCCTTCCAACACCCACCTCTCACCCAGATGCATCCTGTCTGTACCTGACATCACTTCCTGTCTGTACCTGACATCATTTCCTGTCTATACCTGACATCACTTCCTGTCTGTACCTGACATCACTTCCCTGTCTATACCTGACATCACTTCCCATCTACCTGACATCACTTCCCGTCTGTACCTGACATCACTTCCCGTCTGTACCTGACATCACTTCCCGTCTGTACCTGACATCACTTCCGTCTGTACCTGTACCTGGACATCATTTCCCATCTGTACCTGACATCACTTCCTATCTGTACCTGACATACTTCCCTGTCTGTACCTGACATCATCACCCATCTGTACCTGACCTCCTGTATGTACCTGACATCACTTCCCATGTGTACCTGACATCACTTCCCCTTACCTGTACCTGACATCACTTCCTGTCTATATGTACCTGATATCACTTCCCATCTGTACCTGACATCACATTTCCATCTGTACCTGACATCACTTCCTGTCTGTACCTGACCTGACATCACTTCCCATCTGACCTGGCATCACTTCCCATCTGTACCTGACTTCCTGTCTGTACCTGACATCACTTCCTGTCTGTACCTGACATCACTTCCCATGTGTACCTGACATCACTTCCCATTTGTACCTGACATCACTTCCTGTCTGTACCTGACTGATATCACTTCCATCTGTACCTGACATCACTTTCCATCTGTACCTGACATCACTTCCCATCTGTACCTGGATCACTTCCCATCTGTACCTGACTTCCTGTATGTACCTGACATCACTTCCTGTCTGTACCTGACATCACTTCCCATCTGTACCTGACATCACTTCCCATCTGTACCTGACATCACTTCCCATCTGTACCTGACATCACTTCCCATCTGTACCTGACATCACTTGCATGACCTGTACCTGCATCACTTTCTGTCTGTACCTTACATCACTTCCCATTTGTACCTGACATCACTTCCCATTGTGTACCTGACATCACTTCCTGTCTGTACCTGACATCACTTCCCATCTGTACCCTGACTTCATTTCCCGTCTGTACCTGACATCACTTCCATCTCCATCTGTACCTGACATCACTTCCATCTGTACCTGACATCACTTCCTGTCTGTACCTGACATCACTTTCCATCTGTACCTGACATCACTTCCTGTCTGGGTAGAAGGGTGCTCACTCACCATGTGGTGGAGCTCAGAGGAACTGCAGCTCCAAGAAATGTCTCATAGTTTGAACCTTGTTGTTGTTTCCAAGTGTTCTCCAATGTTCATGTCATGTCTGGCATGTCTGGCAGGTTCCAGGACTCTTCAGAGTGGCAGTGAGGTGATGACTCCGGAACACTCTCTGGGTTCCATCACCAGGCACTGCAATTATACCCGACTGCTGGGAGCCGGCA